GCCCTTTTGGAAGCCTCTTGGGCCGCCTTGGGCCATCTTAGGGCCATCTTCGGTCGTTTTGGTGGGCTTCTGGCCCGTCCGACGCGTCGGAAGTCGTTGGGGGGGCCCCTCTGGGCCGACTTGGAAGCCTCGTGGAATGCTCCATGGCCGTCTTGGAGGCCATCTTGGGCGTCTTAAAAGCCTCCTGGGCCGTCTTGGGGGCCTCTGGGGTCGTCTTGGAGGCCTCTCGGGCGATCTTTGGGCGATCTTTGGGGGCTATTGGGCCGCATTGGGCCTTCGGATGGCCGAAAAGATTCAAGTGTCAAAATCCTTCAAATACCTAAGGCACATCAATGTGGTTTGCCTTTTCTGGCCTTCCTGGAGGCCCTCTTAGAGGCCTCTTGGGCCGTCTTGGGCCAGCTCCGAACCAACTTCGGCAATCTTGGTGGGCCCCTGGCCCGTCTGACGCCGTCGGAAGCCGTTTGGGGGGCCTCTCTGGGCCGACTTGGGGCCCTCTTGGGGTGCTGAAGGGCCGTCTTAGAGGCCATTGTGGGCGCGCTGGAGGCCTCGTGGGTCGCCTTTGTGCCCTCTCGGGGCCGTCTTGGGGGCCCCTTGGGCAGCCCTGAGGCCATCTTGGAAGCCTCTTGGGCGCTGCGGGGGCGATCTTGGGGGCCTCTCGGGCCGTCCTGGGTCGTCGGAAAGCCGAAAAGGAGCACGTGCGGGAGGGGGGGGGGGGAGAAGAAGAAGAAGAAGAAAAAGAAGAAGAAGGAGAAACAACCAAACAAAAAAAAACAAAACAACATAAACACCTAAGGCAAATCAATGATGTTGGCCTCGGCGGGCCCTCCTGGAGGACCTCTCGGAGGCCTCGTGGGCCGTCTTGGATGCCTCTTGGGCACCTCTCGGGCCGTCTTGGGCCATCTTGGAGGCTTCATCTCGGGCCATCTTGGCTGCCGTATTGGGCCATTTTGGCAGCCATGGCCGTCTTGAAGGCCACCTTGAACGTCTTGGAGGCCTCTTGGGACGCCTCGGGGGCCTCTTGGGGCCGTCGGGCGGGCCTCGTGGGGCCACGCTGGAGACCTCGCGGGCGATCTTTGTGAGCTCTTGGGCTATCTCGGGCCGTCGGAAGGCCTAGAAGAAGCGAGTGTCACAATTCCTCCGAACACCTGGGGCAAATCAGTGTCGTTGGCCTTGTCGGGCCTTCCTGGAGGCCATCGTGGAGCCCCCCTGGGCCGTCTTGGTCCATCTTAAGGCCATCCTCGGCCGTCTTGGTGGGCCCCTGGCAAGTCTGATGCCGTCGGAAGCCGCGTGGGGGGCCTCCCTGGGCCGACTTGGGGCCCTCTTGGAATGCACCAGGGCCGTCTTGGAGGCCATCTTGGGGGTCTTGCAGGCCTCCTGGGCCGTCGCGGGGGCCTCTCGGGGCCGTCTTGGGGGCCTCATGGGCCGTCCTGGGGCCATCTTGGAGGCCTCGTGGGCGATCGTTGGGCAATTGTTGTGCGCTCTTGGGCCGTCGCGGGCCGTCGGAAGGCCGAAACGAAGCAAATGCCAAAATCCTTCAGGAACCTTTGGGAAATCCACGTGCGTGGCCACTTCTGGCCTTCCTGGGAACCCTCTTGGAAACCTCTTGGGCCGTCTTGGGCCAGCTTCGAGCCAAGTTCGGCCATCTTGGTGGGATCCTGGCCCGTCTGACGCCGTCGGAAGCCGTTTGGTGGGCCTCTTCGGGCCGACTTGGGGCCCTCCTGGGGTGCCAGGGCCGTCTTGGCGGGCCATCGTGGGCGTCTTGGAGGCCCCTTGGCCCATCTTGGGTCCCCCTTGGGGCCCCGTCTCGGGGGCCTCTTGGGCCGTCTCGGGCCATCTTGGAGGCCTCGCGGGCGATCTGGGGGGCCTCTTGGGCCGTCCTGAGCCGTCGGAATGCCGAGAAGACGCAACTACCCGAATCCTGCAAAAAAAAAATGTGCTCGGCCTCTTCGGGCCCTCCTGGAGGACCTCTTGGATGCCTATTGGGCAGTTTTTTTTGGGGGGTGCTTTTTTTTTTTTTGTTTATTTTTTCTTACCTCAGTCTAGATGCCCCCTAGCTGCTGAACGACCACATACACAAACAATCGATGATGAGTCGACGTCGCAACCAATGGCCAGCACCTCGAGCCACGCAGTCGAAACCGCGTCGCGCGCGGCACCGCTTTACCACGTAGGGAATGAACTAAAAACGCTGTGCCGCGGTCGAGGGTCTCGACAGACGCCTCTGCAACTGGGGGTCACCCAGAGCAAAGAAGCGGGTCTTCAAACCTACATGCAAGCAGATCATCGGATCGGTGGCCAACGCCTCACAGAAGACGGCCCTAGCGGCACGGGCGCGGGCAATGTGCTTGGTTGGCATTGCGGCAGTCGATAGCGCTCTGCGTCTGCTGCTGGCAGTCGTCCCCGCTGTTGTACATCCACTGGCAGCTGTTGCCCGGCAAGTCAACGATGTCGAAGCAGTAGCGCTTGGTGCAAGGGTTCGCTTCACAAATCGGGCAGCCGTTCCTGTACAGGTTGTAGTCCCGGCACATGCACGCCCCCTTGGTGGCTTGTGCGCAGTCGTCGCCGGGAGGAGTCTTCATCCAGCTGCACCCTTTTGCCATCGGGCCTGGCACGTCGGTGGCGTCGCCGCATATCGTGCCCGTTGCGTTTGCGCCCTGTCCATGCTTGTGGACGTCCGCCTTGCGCGCCAAGAGGGCGGCCTCGTCGGCGCCACATTCGCCCGCGCCGCACGTCTCGTCACCGGCTGCCCCGACGGCCAGCAGCAGCAGGAGGCAGGCGGCGGCGCGGCCCCCGTGCATCGCGGAGGGGAGGAGACTTCAAAGCTGCCTCTGCGCGAGCTTCTCGAACGCTGGCGACTCCGAGGGCCCCTGCCGGGCCGAAGCGGCTTGAGCCAAAATGGCTACGGATGGATGCCTATTGGGCCGTCTTGGAAACCTCTTAGAGCCCTCTTCGACCGTCTTTGGCAATCTTGAGGCTATCTTAGGCTGCCTTGAGTGCATACTGGGCCGTCTTAGAGGCATCCCTGGGCCATCTTGGCCGTTTTGGAGGCATCTTGGAAGCCATCTTGAGCCGTCTTGGAGAATTTGTTTGTGGACGTTGAGGGCGTTTGCGCGCCTGGAGCTCCCTCCCGGGACCCCGGCGGGACGGGCCGAAGCGCCAAGGGGAGTTCTTTTGGAAAAAGAACCAAAACCAAACCGTAAGAAGTCCAACACGCTAGGCACCCCTGCGATGAATCGACAGGGGGCGGCGGATCCTAGTGACCGTCGGCCCATCCCGCCACCATGCCTGGGTTGTGGGTCTGATGCCTCTTGTATGTGTTGAGGTGTCGTGGGGAGCATCTCGGGGACCTCTTGGAGGCGGTTTCGGCGTTTCTTCAGAGGCCCTTGGGGCCTCGTGGGGTATCTGTTGGGCCTCTTTGAGGCCTCTTTGGCGCGTCTTGGGCACCTCTTGTGGCCTGCGTCTTGGGCTGTCTTGGGAGCTTCTTGAGCCATCTTGGAGCGTCGGAAAGCCGAAAATGCGAGAACCCCAAACTCCTTCAAAAACCTTTTGCAAAATCGACGATGTTGGCCTTGTGGGTCTCTCTCGGGAGGCCTCTTAGAGCGCTCTTGGGGCCTCTTGGGCCGTCTTGGAACCATCTTCGGGCGCCTTGGAGCACTCTGTGCCTCGGTAATACGAACATAGTGTAATTTGCAAGGGTTTGGCCACGTGGACGCGAAAATTAAAGAATGTACCGAGGTGTGTTGCCTCGGGGACGCAAGAATTCAGCACTTTGCGAGGGGTTGTGACGTCGGGGACGCGAATCCTGCGTAATTTGCAAAGAGAATTCTGGCTTGGAGGACGCGAGCATTGCGTAATGTACGAGGGTCTGTTGCATCGGAGACGCAAAACTTAGGTAATGTACGAAGGCTTGTTGCCTCGCGCAACAATTGCGCAATTCAAAGCTTAATGGCCTCAGGGGTGCGAATATGGAGTAATTTAAAAAGGTGTTCTTGCCTCGGGGACGCAAGAATTGCGCGATTTGCGAGGGTTACGTCGGGGACGCGAACATTACGTGGGATCGTGGCCTCAGGGGCGCAACTGTGGCGTAATTTACGGGGGATCGTGGCCTCAGAAGCGCGAATGTCGTGTAATTTACATGAGATCGTGGCCTCGGGGCCGCGAAGAGTTGTATTTTATGAAGGGTCGTGGCTTCGGGAGCGCGAACGTGGTGCAATTTACAAGGTATCGTGGCCTCGGGGACGCGGACTCACGATAATTTACAACAGATGATTGCGTCATGAGCGCGCATCGCATGTAATTTTACGTGTCCCACGACCCCACAGGAATTCAGACAACGCGATTCGGAGAGGGTAACAGGGTGCGTTTCGGCTCCCCGCCCTCGCGCGGACTTCAACAACTTAAAATAGGGAGCAGAAAGCAGGACTGTAACATTGGAGACTGGAAACTGGAACTGGTGCAGGGTACTGAAACCTACTCCTCGCAGCCTGATGGGCCCACAAGGGGGCCGGCAGATCTCAAGACGGGGAGGGGAGGGAAGGAAGATTTGGGAAGGAGGGGGAGGTGGAGAGGGGAAGAGGGGGAGGAGGGGGTCCTCCCCCTCCTCCTGGGACGGAGGAGGGAGGATCGAGGGTCGAATATACTTGTGTGTGTTCACCCTTTTCGGACCTCTTGGAGGCTTCTCGTCGCTACGGCTGGATTGCTGGATCCCCTTCGAAATTCTAAATTGAACGCGCTCCAGGACAGGCTGGGGGGGAGGATGATGATGAGGAGGAGGAGGACGAGAAGGAGGAGGAGGAGGAGGACGAGGAGGAGGAGGCGGAGCAGGAGAAGGAGGAGGAGGAGGAGGAGGAGGAGCAAAGGGGGAGAAGGAGGTGAGGAGAACAGGAGAGTTCGATTACGCGGAGGACGTCGGACGATGGAGGAAGATAGGGAAAGAGGGAAGGAGGCGAGGAGGAGATCGAGGAAGGCCAATCGAGCCGGAAGAGGGCGGGCGGGGAAGCCTGATTGCTGTAGACCTGGGCCTTGTCACACTGGAAGGGGCCCACCTCGCAGCGGAGATCTCCTCCCTCCCTCCCTCCCTCCCTGCTCCTCGGTCGGTCAGTCGGTCACTAAGGGATGCGTCTGAATCACAATCGATGCTGGAGAATATAGAGCCGCAGTAAGAGTCTGCAGAGAGAAAGGAGGCAACGATCGCGACGGCGGGCAAGCCTCCATCTTTCATAGCCCAGTCCTTCAAGTCCCAGTCCTGCAGGTGTCTGTGATATGGGAGGCGTCGCGGGCGGCAGATCCATAGAACTGTCTTAGTGCAGCAACGATTCTGCGAGGGGAGCCGCGTAGAATCGAAACATATCCATTCATACGGTTACATCGAATTAGCGTGCCGCGTAGTTCAACCCCAGCCACACAAATCAGGACACGCTGTTCAGCCGAAGTGGGGCTGCGCAGACCACAGCATAGCACAACAACAATCAATCGAACCCATTTCAGTGCTGCGAGAGATGCTGCGAGAGTTGATCCGAAGAGGTGCTGCGAGAGGTGCTGCGAAAGATGCTGCAAGAGTTGCCCACACATGAAAGATGCTGCCAGAGTTGATACTTGCAAGGTGCTGCCCACATCTTTTCGCTTGTCAGGGGCGAGAGAACGGTACCGACTGAGCAACATCTCAACCATGTTGGAACTCAGGATCGGGGTCCAGGGGTATGACGTAATGCGGGATATCCACGTCGAAGGAGACCCAGGGTCTAGCCACACATAATCGCGTTGCCAATGCACAGTGTACTACAAAACTCCGAGGAGCATGTCTTGACCGCGGCGTTCTCCTAAGCCTCTGGAACATGCCTACCCTGAAGAGCCTGCACGTTGGCCATGTGTTCACAACGACCGTAGTGCTGCAACTTACGGAAAAAAATTGTCAATCATGGAGGGCATGGACTCCTGACAAGGAGTTAGCGTCTTGAATTCCTGTCCAAAGATGTGCTGATCTTCGCAGTTGAATATTGCCCGACATGCAGAGATGCCAACGAAACACTGGAACAATGGTCGGCGGGAGCGAGATGCTCAGTCACAAGCGGGAAATCCATCTTCCACGCCGCAAGTACAGCAACCATTATGGTCCTTAAGAGAACGCTCCCTTTAATTTTAGTGTGTGAGATACCGTGTGCCACGAGACATATTATGAGAAGGGAGTGGACTGAATCCCCCTCCTCCGCCTCCGCCTCCTCCTGCTCCTCCTCATCATCCTTCTCCCAGCTCCACCTTCCTTCTCCCACTGATCCCCCTTCCTTCCCTCCCTCCTCTCGATGATCCTCGCCCTCATCCTCCCCGCGTGCAAAGACTGGGAAATGGGAAGGAGGGAGGAGGGTAATGGAGAAGGAGAAGGAGAAAGAGGAGGACGAGGGACAGTGAGGATGATGAGGAGGCAAAGGGAAACGGAGGAGCGAAAGGGAGGAGGAGCGAAAGGGAGGAGGAGGAGGAAGAAGAAGCAGCCCGCATGTGCTTCCTCAGGGATCGCACGCTCGCCTTGTCCTTCCTCACTCGCCCGCCCCTCGCCGCCCTGCGCCTCCGCCTCTGCCGAACCTCTCCTCCTCCTCCTCCTCCTCCTCCTCCTCCTCCTCCTCCTCCTCCTCCTCCTCCCTCGCTCGTCCTCCTCGTCCCTCCTCGTCCTCCTCCTCTTCCTCCCTTCTAGTCCTCGTCGCCCTCCTCCCTCCTCCCTCTCTACCTCCTTCCCCCTTCCTCGAATGCCCTGGGGCGCTGGCCTTCTTCTGAGCCTGCCAGTTCAGCATCGCCGGCTCATTGCC